TGTGTTGCTGTTATGCATACTCAGTTTTTTAAGCTCCTGCAGCTGTTTATGCATCAGCAATGAATGGTTACTGATTTTTTTTTACCCCTCTGCATACCATCTTTTTCAAATCAATTCAGTAAGTTTACTAGTACCGGTCATGCAGGGTTCTGCAACAGTTTTTCCCCCCAATGAAAATGAACCATCTACTTCTACCCTCTGTTTCTTGTCTTTTACCTCATATCTCATGTCTGCTTAGTTTCCCTAAAATCATTAGCTAAGAGGCTCCAGGGAATCTCTGCACTAGATCATGTTCCCACATGCCTGTTGGTGAGAAGCATGATGTGAATTTACCAAGAGTTCTGGTTGCTGCCTTATTGTTCCCTAGAACCTTTTCAAGACATATTGATTGTGTTTGCTGCTGGCCCTCCTTTAGCACCAGAACAATTTCAAGTGAGAGCTCACACACCACTTTTAGTAGCTCACATATTTCACTGGGTTCCTCTGGAGAATCATCTGCTCCTGTTGAAACTGCAGCACCTTCTGGAAGTATGAAGCAACTTCTCTGATGGATGCCACAAAAGTGGGATAGTGTGGGGAATTTCCCTAGATCTTCTACACTGAACATGGATGAGAAAAAAATAATGCAATTGCATGGCCTATTTTTCTCTGACCAGATTTCCTGTGCCTCATGAATTTGAAAAGGGGTATGTTACCAGTTTTGATAGACTAAACACCATTACACTGTCATGTGCTGTTGTGAGCTTCCTTTTGTCCTTTTTCAAGTCTTTCTAGAATGGTGATTTTGTGCCTTCAAGATAGCGTTCTCCATTTGTCTTCATACCGCTTGTGAGGATTTAATGTGCATACATGTTCCTTTTAATTTTGTTTTTAACAAGCATCTTCATTTTCAGTACAGCTGTGGTGGATATTTGGGTTGTTTGCTGCAAAGATAGAGTACCTAAATGTACAGTGGTTGCTTATACTGACGCATTCGGTTTATTGTTATAATTGAACCAGTTTATATATGGCTAAAATTAATAATAAAGCATAAGTAAGGTTTATACAAGAAAAAAAGTCCAAACCCTCTGTATTTAGTTACTTAGCAGAAGCAAGAAAGTTGGTGTATTAAGACAGACAAACTAATGAATATTTTTAAGTTAAATTAGGTGTGTTTTTCCTGTTTACCAAGGTAAGTCTGTGTGCTGTCTCCAAGAGTACATAATTGTAACTGGTTTATTGTTTAACAAAAGCACTCATTATCTTGAACTGCAGCAGCATTTCCGTATGCCCAAGAATACTTGAGGGAAATTTCAGGCTGAGTCTTTGTCAGTGCTTGGGATCATCATCTTTCTCTCAGTGTTCAAATTTCTTCTGTGTTATTTTGCATAAGCAGCATCTTACTGAAAGATAATACACTTTGTTTAATTGCTGTGTAGTTGCTGCTTATCTTACCGTCTTTTGCTCACCCTTAAGAGATGAGACGAACAGGCCCAGATGAGAAGAAAGCATTGACAAACTGACTGTAAAACTCACTTTTAAGTAAGAAATACACCTTCACATTCCTTAACAAGAGGCTGCTTTTGGTTCTTAGAGAAAACAAGGCTGCTGAACTATTTGATTTGGTTTTAATATTGCCATTTTTCAGAGGGTTGCTCACAGTTAAAATATCCTATAATCACACCCTATACAGAATCAGGTAAGACAACACATACTCAATTTGATCTTTTCAAGATCAAGTCTCATGTGAACTATTATGACAAAATAAAAGTTGTAAAACTGCATTCCAGTATCTGGAATTGCATCTGGATATAAGTACAGATCTCAGAGTGAGAAAGAGGCACTCCCTTTGAAGTGGATATTTTTTGGAATGTTTTATTTGATTAAGAAAATATGCTTATTATTTTACTCATGGTATGTGTATTAAAACATACTCATACTTTTTATTGGTTTAAATGTAGGGAAATGTAACTGCAGGATCTACAGTGCTAATCTGTTAATTTTAATAGATTTAATGTTGTAGCAAGCCTTTAGATGGTGCGTAAGTCTTTCCTTCTATGAAATTTGTGTAGACATAGGTGTTTCTCAAATCTTTTTTGGATAATTTTATTTCCATTTTGTCTTGTTCTTAATAATGGCAAGCTTTCCAGACCAAGATAGTGTGTTAGCAGGTTTTGTGCGTGTGTCTTGCTCTTCTCAGTTCTCATACAGGAAAAGATCAAACAGCACTTTCTGTAGATGTGTTTTAACTTTACATTTAAGTAGAACTTAAAAGCTGCTGCTGCTGAAAGGGGTGACCTTGTTCTTTCCTGCTCCCTTGTCACCACTATAAGCTGCTACAAGCAACTACCTTATACAATAGAAAACAATTACACTCCTCTTCCCCCCACCCCGCTTTAGTTTTCTAGCAAATCAGCCACCTGAACTGACTCACTGTGACCACCTAACCACTAGTTTTAACAGAAGGGAAGTGGTAGGAGCAAACGCCCTGGGCTGGGGAAGAGTTACGCAGCGTGATGTCCCCTGATAGCAGCTGTTACTTAGGCAGCTATAAATATGATGTGAAACCTTGATCACTCCAAAATACAGTTTGCACCTATTTAACTATGCCTAAATGCAAATATTCTACCATTAAAATAAAGATCATTTGATGGTTAAGAAGTCTGTTCTGCTCTTTGCTGCTATTTGTTCCTGTACTGTAAGGAAGAGGATATATCCAAATATAATTAAATTATATAGACAGTTGATATTCAGAGCAGTACAGCTTATGGCTGGCCCTAGTATAGAGCAAGATAATTGTGATGCTCTGCCTTTAGAGCATCTTATATATCCCTTAGGATATGTAAGATTAATCTGTCCAGTTTTTGAAGATGGGGGCTGTGTTTGTAAAGAACTAAAAGAGAAGGGCAGCATAGATAGTACTGTAACTGTTCCTTAAAACACAAATCAGCTGTTTCAGTTGTGTAAATAATTTGTCAACTTGAAGTTATAACCTAATGTATTGCTGGCTTCCTAGGAGGGAACTCGCAGCATTGCAGATTCTTAGAACGTACATAAGCACATTTTCACTGTCCTGATATTCCTGACTGGAGCTGATAGCTGACCTCCTGATGCTGATGGGGTGTGTTCTTCTGTTATAATGAAAGTATTCAGATAAGGTGCCTCCAGCTTATGGCCCTCCTACATTCTAACTTGCTTGCCTGGTTGTGCTTTCTTCGATATTACCCAAAACTCAAAGTAGCTCACCCAGCTCTCTGGGCAGCACCGGGAAGGACCAGGGCATTTTAGAAGTTGCATGGTTTCTCCACCTGCTCAACAGCCAGCAGTAGAACAAGACAAGGACATCCTGTTTACGGACACTGTGTAGGGAAATTATGGGGCAAGGCTGCCACTCCTTGTCAGCACTAAGAACATGCTCTGCTTGGGTACAGAATATGCAGGTAGTAGGCAGATGATATTTATTTATGTGGTTCATGTGACAAGAAGCAATTGTTCTGCCAGAGGTAATGAGCACGCAGTGTTTCTAAACACACAGCCCTTGCAGAGTAGAGAATTTGGGCTGGGGCATGTTACAGATATGAATCCTCTGGAACTCCCCAGTCTCCAATTGCTGCCAGAGTCTCAGGGTGCATTCCCATCAGCATCCTTTTAAATTCCTGAACTAGGCTGTCTTGGGAACCAGGCACAGATGACAAGGAGATGCACTTGCTGAGATTCTATATTCCTCATAAAAAAAAACAGTGCCACAGGAGTTTTCAGAGAGGGCAGTGATTAGATCTGAGAGTAGTTGACCTTCAAGCTTATAGAGAGCAGCTCCTAGGGAAGCTTGGGGTATTGTGCAAGATATAAAAAGGTCGGGCCACTGCCTGGTTTTGGGAGAGGCAAGCAGTTCACTCCTCATGAGCAGGCTGGTCAGGATGCCATATGGGGATAGAGAACCTGGTGAGTGACCCTGGTAGCTACATGCACAATGCAAACCATTAATAGTTGCTATAATGTAGCTGACTTGCCACAGGAGCTGGCACCCTTGCCTGAGTTACTGTGTGGCTCTGGCTGGTGCTAGTTGCTCTGCAGGACTGGTTGCGTACAAAGGTGTTGCTGTGCTCCTTGGAGGGATCATATATCCCTATCAGAGAATGAAGTTCCTTCGCTGTCAAGGTCTCCGCCCCACAGTATGTGGGGTACAACCACGACAATGGGACTCTTGGTACCAGTGGCAAAAGTACCTACCTGCTTTTTTATATTCAACTCCTCCTATCTATAGGAGATACAATCAGTCTATAGGAGTTACAATTCCAGATTTATCATAGGTGCCTGTAGCACCTACTACAAGCCTTGTTTCGGTCTTGACTTTGTGTCTTCTAGCTGTGGGCATCCCACTTAGCCCGTCTGGCAGTTCCTGACTCTACCACCTGGCCGATCCACAGACTCAGTGTGATATAGCCTTTCTGCTGAATTTAGTAGGAGCTGTGAGGAGGATGCCAGAAGCTACCTTAGCATGCTGTAAGTTGTATTGCCTCAACTAAAAAAGTCTTTTGATAACAGTGCTCTATTTTCTAAGAACAAAATTGAAACTTTCTAAGTGCTACTGAAGAAGGAAGCTCATCAATGTTGCTTTCATTTGTCTTGAAGATCTTGCAGTTTATTAGCATGTTTAAGTATTTTCCATGGACTGCAGTAGGAGTTTGTGGCACACCTTGATTGTAGGGCTTATCCCCTACATGCAAGTAGAAGATAAGACAGCTCTACCAGCATAATAAATCCACGCTCTACTAGGAGTGTCCAAGTATTTGGAAACCTTACCCATCCCACCATGGCTGAGAAATTGCGCGTCCTCTTGTTCCAGGAGTCCTGCGGGTCCAGCTCAATATGTCTTTCTCCTGCCTTTCCAGTCTGGGTTGCCACAGACCACGCTAGGATCTGCAATAACTTGCTCTTGCTTTATGTTCACATTTCTGCAACAGAGGCTAGACTCACCTCACAGGCACTGGGAGGGAACAGCATGCAGGGAGCAGCCTATTCCTCCACACCCTGCATAGGATGGGGCCATGGGCCTGCGCACAGTGAGAGATCTCGGCAAGTTGCAGCAGAAGAGCTGGTGAAGCAGAAATGTGATGTAAAATGCTGCATGTCAAGACAAGAGGCTGAAACCTGTTTGAACCTGTAAGCAGTCTGTTTTGCAACACCGATCAGACACGTACACCTGACTCACAGCCGGTCTGGGAGACTGATGCTTCATACAGGAGTGGATCAATTTTCCCCACTTTTTGATCGTGGATGGTTTGATCATTACGGTAATTCTTCTTTAAACGCAAGAGGGCACTCCCACCTCACTTCTAAAAGAGTGCTGGTAAAAGTTCTTAATGGAGCTACGCAGAATTGCAGCTCCTCCCGTGTCCATGCTTTCATAACAAAACAATCACTATGCATTTATAAGTATTTATAGGCCATATTTAAGAAAGTGATCTTGGTTTGATACTTTCTTCAAAATAGCATGTCTGAAGAAAAAAATGAATTTTATCCTTGATTTCAATGAAGTAAACCCCAAACTCCAATGTCCTTGAAACCAGAATCGTACTGAAATTGGGAGACAACAGGCTACTTTTTTTTTTTTTTTTTTTTGGATTTCAGGTGCATTATCTGATCGAAACAGAGACCTCTTTTGCCTGCAATAGCAAATTCAGTAAGAGCAACTACAGAAAGGGAGAATGAGATTTGAAGTTGTTACACTTGGCAACACATATTTTGGAGTAGAACTTTGGTGCTCTGTTCACATAAGTTTCCCTTATCCACTCACTCTCATCTGCCTGGTGTGATATGCTGTCACTGTTCTTCATGATCTAGTCACACAAAAATAAATGCATTTTAAGCTTACCCAAGGGCCTCCCAGTTTCTGGAATCAAAGTCTCCCTTGATCGCTTGGAAAGATTTTAACAGCGTTTTTTTAGTGTCCAGCACAGTAAATTAAGATCTAGACTTGTAAACCAGAATTTTCTGTACATTCTACGATTTAAAATGCAAATAAAACCTACAAGTAATTACTCTTTAAATGAAAATATACATATACAAATCCCAAACTCCACTGTGCTAATGATCTCAGTTTAAATGCTTACATTTCTTTCACTTGAAGAGAGTTATTCAGTATGGTCTAAAGCTTTTCCATGGGGGAATAAATTTTAACCAAGCCTGACAGAGGCTTCTGAGCTCCTGTTAAGTTTTTGTAAGTTTTCCTGCACTTCCCATTTAAAGGAAAGAGGCTGCAGCTGTCCTCCCCTGAGCAAAATGCGAGTGCTAGTCAGCATTTCAACGTGCAGTGCAGCCATGAGTATGCCACTGCACCGTTAGAGATAGTAAATAACTGAAATAGTGAATTATAGTAATTTCTTATAGACAGCTGGATTCATAATCAACATACGCTATATTTTCAAATTACACTACTTTCCACAAATTCCTTCTCCTGTCTAAAGTTTGCCAAACATAAGAATGAGCATTTATAGAGAGAAAAAAACACAAACAAACAAACAAACAAACAAAACAAGTCCTGTGGAAGGGTCAGTAGCATTTGAAATTGATTTCCTGTATTTTAATAATCACTGTGGACCTTTACTGGGGGAACAGCTTCCTGACGCTGGCAGAGGTGAACTGCTACAGATCAGCTAGCCTGTTCAATATGGTTCATTAACAGAGCTAAAAGTCAACTGTTATGACCATCATTTCAGAAATATCCATACTTACAAAACCTTTGTTATTTCTGAGGAGACCATGCCTGGAAATTAAATTAGCAACTTGATCAAGAATCTGCCGCTACTCCATGTGTTTCAGGCAAATAGTGCACTGTTAAACCAGATTTCTTTGGAGAGGCAACTGATACTAGAAAATTCAGTTAGACCCAATAAGTTACTCTTATAAACACTTTACCTGCCTTTATTCTCTTTGAACCGTATTTAACTGTCTGCTTTATGAATTAGTCAGGTATGGGTTTATGGATCCATTGGGCTATAAAATTAAAAAAGTGGTGTAATGAGGATAAAATGCAATGCAAGAGTCCCCAGCACATACTTATGTGCCTTTAATACCAGCACTCCCCATAGTTCTCATTTTAGTACTTTACACTTCTACTCCTGCAAATTTTCCCCCAGAGTGCTGTCAAGCAGTTTGCTGTTCTAGATGGTGCTGATCCTTCTTCTGTTCCCTGCTTTCAGCATTCCAAATCAAAAATGCCGTGACAGATGTCAGACCTCTTGGCCAAAAAGGTTTAAGAAATTGGTGGTGAAGCTCATAACAATCAATAAACATGTGGGGGTAAGAAGAAGGGGTGATAAGTGCAGGGGAGGATCATTGAGTACATCTGGACAAGACTCACGTATGTAACTCTTCCAGCTCCCACTGGAGTCTGTCAGGCCTCTATCCTCTCACCCCACTCCTTATTCCACTGCCTCACATTTTGTGTCTCATACAGGAAACAGAGGCTAGAATAGCTTTTACTGGAAGGGGACTGCTAAGTAAAAATCAGAAGTGCATCCCATTTACACAAAAATGGAATGGAAAAATACCTTGTAGAAATAACGCGAAGATGCTAAAAGTGCAGTTAAAATTTGTTCCTTGGTCAAAATGGTGAGTTAACAGGTTCCTAGGAAAGATCAGCTATCTAGGACAATCGCATAAGCATGTAAAGGTTCTTCTGGATGACATTCCTTCCTTCCAGCGTATCAGCCAAACCACGTAACTTAGTGTCATCAGCAGACTTACTGAAGGCTCACTCAATCCCACTGGCCCTTTCACCAACTAAGATATTGAACAAGACCGGTCCCAACACCGATCCCTGAGGGACACCACTCGTTACTGATTTTCAACTGAACATTGAGCCGTTGACCACAACTCTTTGCATACAGCTGTCCAGCCAGTTCTTTATCCACCAAGTAGTCCACCCATCAAGTTGATGCCTCTCCAGTTTAGAGACAAGGATGTTGTGTGGGACAGTGTCGAACACTTTGCATAAATCCAGGTAGATGACGTCAACTGCTTTGCCTCTATCCATCAGTTCTGTAGCCCCATCATAGAAAGCCACCAAATTGATCAGACAGGATTTGCCCTTAGCATTATTTTTTGATGTGTTTAAACAGTACAGGAAATGATTGCCAGTGAGAAAACTTGTGAAATGCTAAACACCAAAACTGTTTGTTTAAGTTATACTTGTAAGTAAAACAGCAAAAATATTTTGTTTATGGCATTGGTGAATGGTAACTTAAAAAAGATCCTGAAGTTAGATCCTGAGAGGGGTAAGTCCTGAATGTCATCCAGACTCCATGAGTCCATGAAATCTTGTCCATGAAAAATGAATCAAATTTAATTCCAGATACTTGCATGGCTGCCTGCCCAGAGAAACCTACCACAGTTAGTCACAGAGTAGCTTCCCTCAGATAGCATGGAAATCATACAGATGCAAAGTAGGCTGAGGATGGATTGTTTTGAAACAATATGCAAATAATGCAGAGTGTTGGTGTACATGACTGCCTGTACAGACATTCAAGGAGTGACTCAAGGAGGAAAATCAGCAAGAAGAAGTAAATGGGAGATTGTGAAGCAATGTCTGTAGACAAAACCTGCAACAATAATTCTTGTTAATGGAATGAAAACTTGTTATTTGTGCAATATAAAAATGGGACAAAAAGAAAGACATTAAAAGTGTTCCAGTGTACAAATAAATTAACTCCAGCACTTACTGATCTCAGAAGTCCTTCAACTGACTTTTCTAGACCTTTAATCAAAAGTTATGTTACTGAGAAATACCAGAATGGAGTCAACAGAATAACTTGGCTGAGCATGTATAGACTGAGATATAAGAGAGAGTGCTTTAGTCACCTGCAGCAAGTGGTCACCAGCAAAGGAAAAATGTCTGAAAAGCTCCTGAAATTCTAAATGAAGCATACCCCAAATGCTGCTGAGCAGAAATTTCTTTTGAAAAGTAAGACTATGCAATGGGATGGCCTCTAAGTTTCTTGGGCGTTTATTCTGTTCAGATCCTCACCCTATAAGGATTTCAGTGCTTTTAAAAGCTGTCTTCAACAAGAATACTAGTAGATTTGGACATCGAGGGGTAAAAAAGGACTTTAAATATAGCTGTTCATTAAAAGATTGCATCTCAATGCAGTGATTAGCATAATATAGTTATGCTATATTATTTAGAGTGTATTATACATGTCATATATATACTGCATAACACAGCTTTTTATATGTGTGTGTATGTAGCTATATATATATATATACACCATATGTATGTATGCTACATAAGTTTGTGCTATATGTCATGTATCCAGCTCATTTTAGGTTACTGCTTCACAAAGACCTTCTGTTGGTTGCTGGCATTCACACTGAACTGACAGCTCCTCCCTGTCTTTCGTCGCTGACCCACTCTATGCCAGGGCCATGGGGAAGGCAGTACAGGATGAAACTGCCACCTGAGGTCTCCCCATAAACAATATTAGAGTTTGCTGATGGGGATTACAATTTCAACTCCCCAAGCACCCAGAGCAGCACAAAGAATATGGAGAAGTTAAATTGCCTTTACTGCTTATCATAACATTTGCTTTACCCACTCAGAAGATAACGGAGAGGTACTTGATCAGGTAAGATTCTGTTGTCAGTCTGAGGTTATTCAGAGAGAATTTGAGTTCAGCAGTTGCTCCAGAATAAGCAGTACTGCAGAGGCCTTCCTCACTATGATATTTTTGGTTTATTTCATTGTTAAAATATTTTGTTGCTCTTAATGGGGCATTCAGCATTCGAAGTACATATAACAGGCTTTTTGTCATCCTCTGTTGCCATCAGAAATAGTGAAGATTAAAATTTTGGATGTAAATAATTATGGCTACAATCCTTATTCAGTTGCTTCTCAGCCGAAACTCCTATTAACTTCAGTGGATCCATAATATAGATAATATAATTTGTAATGCTAGAGGGATTTTAATACATTGTGTTTGTCCCCTCTTATGCTTCAAATGCCAGACATTTTAACTGCAATACTTACCAAGCTCAATGAGAAATTAACATACATTAAAATGCATTACAGTTTATAGTTTTTTTATAGATAACAGTATTGCAATCTTAAAATATACTTGGAAAGGTTAGGCTTCTCTGCTTGAGAGAAATGTGAAACATTTGGAAAAAAATAGTCTTCTGTCAACTCAATTGAGTTCAGTTGAGTTGTTTTTTTTTTGTTTGGTTGTTTTTTTTTAACTGGACTGCAAATTGCCTGTGAAAGGGCTCTTAATCTGTATTTTTATCTGCAGTAAGTTCTTTCGCAGCCCAAAGTTGCCACAGAGCCAGCGGTACCTGCCAGTTCTTCTCTGGCAGACTGCCACACATGCAGAGAAATCAGCCAGTCCCCAGCATGTTCCTTGAGGTCCCAGGTGACAGAAAGTGTTTACAAAGGGGAGATCTCTATGGGCAGGAGAAAGCACTGGTTAAGGCAGCCAAATGCTGGGGCTTTTTCATGTAGTGTAGTCTTCCCTAGACTTGCCATTAGCTGTATAAATGTGTCAGTGTCATTCTGTAGTGGCTATTAACCTGAAGTTAAAGCATGTAGGTGGGGTGAGAAGGTAAGATGTATTCCTTTAACCCTTATTGTCTTCCTCTGGTATTCTGTTAGTTTGTCATTCAATCTTATTATACAGTCTTCCTCATCCTCATCTCAGTCCAAGAAGTTTTCTACTTCAGAAAGTCTCTAGTCCAAGCTTTTTCCATGTGGTCTGAAAAGGGGACAAGGATGTTTATGCCTCTTCTATGCAGAAGTTGTGCTACAGAAAACAATGTAAGATTTCGCTGTCTAGAGAAATACACTTTTTTCAACACTATCCCCCTAATATGTGACTGCA